TGAGATCATATTTTAAGTAGTTTCTTCCTTCCCTAATTTAAAGTGCTTTAAATATAGGCTAAGTTCCCACTTACCTTTGGGTTCAGTATTAGACTCTGTCTTGTTCCATTAATTTACCTGTTTCTTCTCTGGTGCCCTTTAAGTATATAGCTTTATAATCGCTCTTAATACCTCCTGTGGCCACTGGCTTATTCGCAACCTGCTCCTTGGTTAGCATCTGGGTACACACTCCCTCCTGGTTTTCTTTGCCTTCCCTGATGCCTCTGCTTAGACTCCTTCATGTTGGATCCTTCAGGGATCTGCCCTCAGCCCCACTGTGTCACTAAACCCTCTCCCTGGGCAGACCCCCTGCCTCCACTCTTACCCCTTCTGTCTACTTTTCACTGTGCAGACAGTGATTTTTACTAAAGTACAAGTAAGATCATGCCACAACTCTGCTTATAAATCCACCTATTGCTCTCAAGATAAATTCCTGACTCTGTAACAACAGCACAGGAGGCCGCAATAGATAGAGTTTCCCTAAAGCAGACCCTGAGATAAGGATCCCAGCAAAAGTGGTTTATTTAGGAGATGAGGCCAGGAAGGGCGGTGGGAGGTGGGACAGGGAAGGAAGGCAGCCAATAGAGGAAGCCTTCTAGAGCAGGTCCCTGCCTTAGGTTCAGTCCCACTAAGGACCGGGGAGACTGCCTAGACTGAATCAGAGTTGTCTCTCCTCAGAGAGTAGAGCTGGGGTGTTTAACCAGAGTTCCCCAGCCCAGAAGCCCCCATTCTCTGAGAGCCACACCTCCCTTTCTCCCTCCTTTCCTTCCTCCCATCTCTCCTTCCTCTCTCTCCTCACAAAGCAGGTGTGGGGTAGGGGTAGGGGGACGCCCACACCCGTAGCTGCTTGAACTAGAGATGAACAGCTGGATCAGTCAGATTCACGCCCCTGGGATTCTGAATTGGGCAGTCATCTGCTCCTTCACTTGAACCGTAGACCCTAACCATGACTGCCTTGTTTGGCCATAGAGAAGCAGAGATGGCGGGGGTGGGCAGTGTTTAGAGAGAGACACACAGTGGGTGCACAGAGAGAGGCGCACAGCTTCAGACACATCAAAAGCAAGCTCAGCATAGGACATTTTAGTTTCTGATTCTCTTCATAAGGTTTTCCTGGGGTTGAGCCACATTCCCAGAACTTGAGTTCTGTGAGACAACAGTGCTTCCTGTCTGCTGCAGAGAGATGTTAACCTGTATTTTCTGTGTTTCCTTTTGATTTCCTGACCTGTAACTAGAAACACCCACACCCAGCCTTGACTAAGAAAAATTCCCCCAAGTTCCCCAATCGCCATTCATGACCTGGCTTCCTACCTCACAAAGAAACAGAAACCACTATTATTGACATTCCACTTGGACTATTTTTTAATGGTTCCAATGTTTCCATCTTAACAACCCTCCCTCATCCCCACCCCCATCTTCCTTCGACTCTATTTCACCTTGAAAACCACCCTTACCTCTCTCCCCTCATAGCCAACCTTACAGGAAAAGTAGTTCACATCTGGTGTCTCTACTCTCCCCTTCTCTTAGTCCTTACTTGCACAATTATTTTGTGGGAAGGTGTTCCATTCTGAAGATGTGATTTGAAGTGTTTATGGGATATTTAATTCTGAAGGTTCATAGACTGTACAGGTGTAGAATTCAGAAGGCAGGTTTGGTCTGGAGATATAGATTTTAAAAATCAATCAGGATTTTTTTTTAAGAATTATCTGCACAGGAAGGTGATAAATAAGTGTCTTGACAAGCACTGACTAATCCCCCAGTTTCCTCCCCAGAGGCCATCTTGTGTATCCATCCAGACATGGCCAGCTTCATGAACATAGGACCTGACCTGCGCAGGTATGTAGAGACACATCCTGGAGAGGGACCTAAGCTCGATTTAATGCTCTGCTGTCACCATCTTGCAATTCGTAATTAGGAATGAAGGACCCCAAATTTTCATTATTCAGAAATTATGTAGTAGGTCCTATTTCCAGTTGTATTTCATGTATAGAACACATAATAAACACATATACCCCTGTTCCCACCCTGTTTTCTTCCAGCATTTTGGTGATTCTTAAAAGAACATTATGAAACAGGATGAAATTTCCCAGGGAGAAGGTACAAAAGTCATTACTGCTGTTCACCAAATATTTTGGCTTTTTCTGTTTCTGCATACACGGGGGATGTATGCTGGGGTTGCATTTCCTGGCTCCCTACTGGTTAGATGCGGCCAAGTAACCAGTTTCAATCAATGAATTAGGAGCAGGAGGGAGTGCATCACTTCCAGGTCAGAGCACTTAAATACTGCTGTAAGCCCTGCCAGATTTCTCGTTCAGGAGTTCAAGATAGTGCTGTTCCATTAGTCTTGGTCTCAGAGTGACTACGATGAGCAGACCCTTCTGTGTAGGCCATGATGGACATTCAGTTGAGAAATAAGTTGACATTGTTTTTAAGCCATGAGATTTGGGGAGTTATTTGTTATTGCAGTGTAACCTGTCCTATCCTGCCTGATAAAAATATTAAAACATGCTGGGACAGAACTTGCTGGAACTGACATTTAAGGGGAAGAGAGAGCCATAGAAAGATAAGACAAAGACTTATGAGATAAAAATGAGAAACCAGGAGAAGACAGGACCTAGGGGAGTCATGAAAATGAAAGGAAGAAAGTGCTCTAAGAGGAAGAGAGTAGTTGACGGTATTGGATGCATCCAAGAGGTCAAGTAAAATAAGGAATACAGCATATCCATTAAATTTGGCAAATGGGAATTCATTGGTAAGCTTACTGAGTGCAGTATCCCTGGAGTGACAATGGTGGGGAAATAAAGGACAGAGGGCTGAGGAAGCAGAGAGGGAAGAGCCTAAGGGATCATTTTATAAGTTCATAAAAGCCTGAGAGAAAGTATATGTCTTTGGGTGGTGGTAAGGCCAATACTGAAGTGAGTTGCTTACTCTGAATGTTTCCTATAAATGGAATTATACAATAGGTGGTCTTTTGTGTTTAGCTTCTTTCACTTGGCATCATGTTTTCATGGTTCAGCTATGATGTAGCATGTAATAGTACTTCATTTCTTTTTGTATCTGAATCATATTCCATTATGTGGGTGGACAACATTATGTTTATCCACTCATCTGTTGATGGGCATTCGGGTTATTGGCCTGTCTACTGCTATATCTGCCAGTGGCTGGTGCTCTTGGGAATGAATGAATGAATGAATAGTATAAACAATGCTGCCCAAGGTCACAAAGGTGCTAAGATGTGACACCAAGATTGGAAGCCAGGCAGATAGTCCCTCAGTGCCTATGCTTTAACTATCAGATTTGAATGCCCTAACAGGAGTTCTTTTTTCACAGATGCAGATTTCTGTATCTTCAGAGTCCTGGAAGGAAATGAGGGCATATTCCCGTGGGGTGACTAGTGGTGGTACCATTTACAAAGGTGTCAGCCATGTTAAGTGAAAGCAAAAGTGATGGTGAGCTACCGGGTCTGGCAACAGTGCGAAGCCCTTACCACCCCTAGGCCCAAAGGGGCAGGGAGGGCATGGTGCCCAGAAGCCCTGCTATGTGGAACTCGGAGGAGCAGAGCCCAGAAGATTCACATTCAACCTCACCATTGTCTTGCACTCCAGTCTCTGTAATTGGGAGCCAGAAGGCAAGGGAGCCCCTGGTGCAGCTCACACAGGTGAAAAAGTAAAATTTAGCTCAGTCTGAAAAAGCAAAACTCAGCCTAGCCACTTAGTTGCTGGAAAAGCAGAAATGGGTAAAGTCAGCTGCAAAAGGAACAAGAAACACTATTTCTTAGTAGCTATAAAGTGATCATAAATTCCCCTACCCGGACTTAATCTTTTTTGAGTAACTGCTGCTTTCTTACTGAGAAATGTCATTCTCTAAAATCATAGACCATTAGAAACTTTGCTATTTGGAATTGTATTAGTAAGAACAAAATACTCCACTTTTGCTGGAGGGTTTAAGTCACCTTGCTACAGATTACCAGCCTTGATTCGCACCCCAGGTGCAGAGGTTTGTATAAAGGGTTTCTGGACACAACATTCACCATTTATCTTGGCTTTTATAGCTTGCAAGCAAACAGGGCCCTGGGTCCACTTTGCAATCCAGATATGAAGTTGACTATTTTATGTAAACCTGCTTTTTGCTTTGGGCTTATCAAAACCAGCTTTCCTTTAAATTTCATCTAAACTCCACCATCCTTCAGAATCCTATGGTAATTCTGTCCCTTTCTTTGATGATGCCCCAGAACTTCAGGTGCATGTCCTCCCTCATTGAATGGGTTAATACACCTAATTTTGTTGGACAGCAAGTTTGTTTCTAGTGGCCTTAGGCTGACTGGCCTAGGTTACAGGTGGACCTCCCAGGGAACAGATCTGGGAGGAGAGTGGATCTAGAGGGTCACACAGGAAGTATCCAGCCTAGAAATAAAGTCGTCCTCCATACCCCCAGCCTGCAAGAAATCTGATTCCCTCCACCACCTACAGACCAGAATGTTGTAAGGAAGTGGGGCAAGGAGGAAAGGGAGAGACTTTCATTTACCGTGATCGTATACATTTGGGCAGGAATAAAGGGTGTAGAAACGAATCTATCAGTCTCTGTGTGTAGCTTGAGGCAATGGAAAGATCTAGGAACTTTATACTAAGGTACAAAGGAAGCACTAGATCTTCTGACATTTGAAGGGCTGCCCCTTTCCCCCAGTTGAAATTAGTAAAAAAAAAAAATGAAAGGAAAAAGGGGATAAGGCAGAATTCTAAAAATGACCTTCTTTTGAACACCATCTTTGTGCAGGCATCTGGAGGAGGTCTGCTGGGCTGGGGTCATCTGCCAGCCAAGCCTGTAAGACTTTGCTTCTCTTGTTTATTCCCAGCCACATCTGGGGCAGCTGCCAGGGCCCGCCCCCACTCTGCCGTCATTGGAGGAACTCAAACTTAAAGGCTCCCCCTAAGGATTAGAAAGTTTCATTTTCCCTCTTCCTGGTGGGCCTGCTGTGGCTCTTCTGCTAGGTTTGAGCCCTGGTCCAGCCCTGAGCAGTGAGCCTCTCACCATGTCAGCCTGCTGCAGCTGGAAAGATGTTTTCCAGTATAAGACAAACAGAGTCACCCAGGTCTACAGCATGAGTTATGGCACCATTAAGTGGATCTTCCACGTGTTGGTCTTTTCCTACATCAGGTAAGTGGGGTGTGGGGATGACCCTACATCTCTGCAGTGGTTGACAGCACAGTAAGCCCCCAGCTGCAGCTTCTGGTGCATATCCTGAGTTCCGGGTGGCTTTAAAATCTGAGACTTGCATCTCACATCAAGCTGGGGGCAAGGGTGTGGGTGAGGATGGTGGAGGAAGCAGTGCCAGTTTGCTGTAGAAAAGCCATAAGGGGCTAGTGTCACACTTTGGGTTCTACCCCAGGCCTGCCTGGGCAAGTTGGGCAGGGCATGCCTGAGAAGGTGGGAAATGCACGGCAACACCCCAGATTCCCTGGAGTGATAATGCTGGCATCTGAGTCATCACTAACTTAGCAGGAGGAATAGAATCAGACTTGAAAATGTAACTTTAGATCCTCTCCAGTGTCAGGAAGGCTGCCCCCCACCCTACTCTTTTCTCTTTTTTTTAACAGTTTATTGAGAGTCCAAGCTCTTACTAAAGTGATATACAAAATGGAGGAGACAGAAATACGAGTGGAGGGAGAGAGACCATGTAGGAGGCTACTGGGTTGTCCAGGTGAGATCTGATGGTGACCTGGACTGAAGAAGTGACAGTGGTAGAGGAGAGAAGTAGATGGATTTGAGTAACATCAAGAAGATAAAGCAACAGGATTTGATAATTGAATGGATGAGGGGAAATGAGGGAAAGGAAGATTTAAGGAGTGCACCATGTCTCTGGCTTGGGCAACTGATGGGTGGTGAAAGAACTCACTGAGATAGGAAATGTTGGGGGGAAAGCCCACGTGGGGGTGGAAGATGAATTCAGAACGGAAGGTACTAAGTTTAACATGTCTATGGGACATACAAATACAGGTGCTTAGTGGGTAGCTGGATATATGAATCTGGAGCTGAAGATACAGATTTTATATCACCAGCATATAGATGGTAACTAAAACCATGGAAGTAGCTGCAACTGACCAGCAAGAGAAGATGTAGATCAGAAGGCAAAAGGACTTAGAACAGACCTTCTGAGGAATACTAACCTTTCAGATGGGGAGCACGGAAGTCTTTGAAGGATTCTCAGAATGGAGGGCCATAGAGATCCAAACAAAGTCAGGAGAATAAGGATTCTGGGAAGCTAAGGGAAGAAGAAGAAAGTGATACACGGTCATTGGTGTCAAATGCTGCTGTGAGTTCCAGGAAGATCAAACCTATATTGTGTCTATTGGATTTTGTTGTTTACTTGGCAAGAGAAGTGGTGGGGGCAGCAGCCAGACTGGAGTGGGCGGAGGAGTGAATGGATGCGGAAATGGATGCGGTGACTCACTCTTTCAAGGGAGCTGGCTAGAAAGAAAAAGAGAGGCACCAAGTGGTAACAGAAGAAGAATGTGGGGTGGAGGAGGGAGAGTTGATTTTTAAGATGGGAAGTGATGTTGAGATACAGATGGAGAAGAGACTGGCAAGAGAGATGATGAGATAAATGGAAATTATCATCATTATCATTATCACCAATTAGCAACTACAAGGAAAGTTCACTCTGTTCTGGCACTGCTCTAATTGTTGGACTTTTCTTCCTTATATTGAGCCAAAATCTATCTGCCTGTAATTTCCCCCTTTGATTAGAGTTCTACCCTGTGGTCCCTCTTCTACTTGACACTCATGAAATGGCTTCACTGTACCACTTTATTTCTTCTCTTCTTCAAAACAATCTCTTCGGCCATGTGCACCTCCCCACCCCACACAGTGCTAGGACCCTTTCCAACCTCAGCCAAGCCCACACAGCCACACCCCTTGTTCATCATGGCCCTCTTAAAAGGTGGTGCATGCACTCTTACTTTGTAGGTGGAACCACAGTTCAACTTTTTGTGGTTAATAAACCAATTCAGTAAATGTTCTGTGGTTTGGCAAAATGAACTGAAATATAAAATGCATGCATCTTTTGGCCTAGAAATTTATCTTAAGGGGTGAAATTTATCTTAGGTGTGAAAAGATTCTTGTACAAGTACACGTCTGGTGACATCGGGATGCAATGAAGCAGAGTGCTTAAGAGAACAGACTGAGCCTCAATGGTGAAAGACTGAACACTTCCCCCCCACAGAAGATAAGGAAAAAGACAAAGATGCCTATTTTCACTGCTACTATTCAATATTGTGCTGGAAGTTCTAGCCAGAACAATCAGGCAAGAAAAAGAAATAAAAGGCATCCAAGTTGGAAAGGAAGAAGTAACACTATATTCAGATGATATCCTATATAGAGAGAATCCCAAAGAATTCACAAAAAAACTGTTTAAGTTAATAAACCAGTTCAGTGAAGTTTCCCTTAAGGTATAAATGCAACACACAAAAATCCGTTGTGTTTCTATACACCAGTAATGAGCAATACAAAAAGGAAATTAAGAAAACAATTGCATTTATAATAGTATCCAAAAGAGCATGAGCCAGTATTACTACTTATTATGTGTCTTAGTCTGTTGGGCTACTATAACAAAATTCTACAGACTGAGTGGCTTATAAACAACAGGAATTTATATATGTTTATATCTGTAAAAATATTTTTCTCTTTTTATTTAGTTGAAATTTATGTAACATAAAATTAACCATTTTAAAGTGAACAAGTCAGTGGCATCTAGTGCCTTCACAATGTTGTGCAACCATCACCACTATTTAGTTCCAAAACATTTCATCATCTCAAAAGGAAACCCCACACTCAGTATGTACTTCCTTCCCAATTCCCCCTTCCTCAATCCCTCGTAACCATCAATCTACTTTCTACCTCTATGGATTTACCTATTCTGGATATTTCATATAAATGGAATCATATATTTGCAAGCTTTTACGTCTGGCTTCTTTCACATAGCATACTGTTTTCAAAGTTCATCTACAGTGTAGTATACATCAGGATTTCATTCCTTTTTATGGCTGAGTAATATTCTACCATATGGATAGATTTTGTTTATCCATTCATCTACTGATGAACATTTGGGTTGTTTCCACCTTTTGGCTATTGTGAATAGTGCTTGTATGAACATGTATGGACAGGTATTTGAGTATGTAATGTTATTCTGGATTTCTCTAAATTTTACATTATGCTGTGGCATGCTTTATTTGCTCAACATTATGTTATTTCCACATTGATAATAGGAACTTTCTCCATTCATTTTCCCTGTCATAGAGTATTGCAATGTATGAATCCAATAATTTATTTACCCATTCAATGTATGAGGACATTTAGGTTATCTCTCATTTTCCCTTTTAGAAATAATGGTGCTATAAACCTTCTGATATTTAACTCCTTGGGCATATGTATGAAGGTTTCTCTAGGAAATATACATAAGAGTGGAATTGCTGGGTCATAGGGAATGCACTTCTTCAAATGTACTTCATGTTGCCAAATGTGAGTTGTCTTTTTATGAGTCTCCTAGGGGTTATCAACTCTGGCTGTGCATTAGAATCACCACACAGAGAATTAAAAAAAAAAAACATATATATGATAGATAGATAGATAGATAGATAGATAGATAGATAGATAGATAGATAGATCTGGATAACTCCCCAGACTTACTGAATCAGAGTTTCCAGGGATGAGACTGGGGAAGTGCAATTTTTAAAGCTCCCTGGGTGATTTATTGCAGAGCCAAGGTTGAGAACAGCTGGGACCAAGTGTTGGCCTACTCTGTATTGTTTTCCCAAGGTCAGCTCTTGCAGAGCAGCCACTGGCTTAGACTTCCTAATACTACTTAGAAAATAGAGACTGGGCAGAGGGGAGAAGCCAAATAAATACATGGTAAATGAATAAACCAAGTATTTAAGATAAACTCTTAATAATTAAGGGCAATGGGGAACAGGGAAAACAGATGAATGGGGAATGGAATCAACCATGTTTAGTTATTAATTCCACTCTCTCCCCTCTCTTCCCACACCATAATAATTTAGATTCATATCCTTAAGAAGGTATTAACAGCTAATAAACTGGCCAAAAGGCAGGAAACCAGAGGCACAGCCCCATCACGCATGAATGGTATAGCATACAGTTAATCACATGGCTCTGGGCTATCAGGCAAACCAGTTGAGAACCTCAGTTCAGTCACTGACTATCTGTGTAAACTTGGGCAAGTTCCTTCACCTCTCTGGGCCCATTCTCTTGTCTACAAAAGGGTCATGATTACACTATCTCCTATTGCAGTTGAGAGGACTAAAGAAGATGAGGCATGGAAAGCCCCTGGCACATACTAAGTGCTTGATAAAGGGTAGCTGCTATTACCAATATTATTCATGAACCAGATGAGTGTTTCTGGAAAACAGATGGCTGACCTGCTGGACATACTGTTGAATAGATGATGTGCCCCTGAGCCCAGAAGAAATCTGGTGGACCAACCTGGGGCTGAACTTTGGTATTTAAGAAAGTACCCTGTAAATTAGGGTCTGTACAAGGCAGTGATGGAGACTGACACTGGGGACAATCGGATCCATGTTATGAGCCCTCGCTCTGTGACAGAAATGTTACTGAGGAGTTTGCATACATATCCCATTTCATCCTTGCAATGTCCCCATTAGGCAGGCATGACTGCTCTTCCCATTTTACACATAAGGAAAATGAGTCACAGAGAAGGCAAGTCGCTTGCCCAAAGTCACCCAGCAAAGTAGGATTTGAATGGAGGCAACCTTTGGAATGACATCCAAGGGGCCTGTACTGTGTCTCTCTCAAGAAAACCATTGATGCTTTTTCTCTGTCTTCCATTAGCTTTGCTTTGGTGTTTGACAAGCTGTATCAACAGAAAGAGCCTGTTATCAGTTCGGTGCACACCAAGGTGAAAGGGATAGCAGAGGTGAAGGAGGAGATTATGGAGAATGGAGTGAAGAAGGTGGTGCCAAGCATCTTTGATTCCGCAGATTACACCTTCCCTTTGCAGGTGTGCATTTGTCAGAATCTTCCCAGAACCTGTCCCTGGTCACCCGGGCCTCACCCCCCTTCCCTGGGATCTAGAGCCTCACTCCAGAAAAACATTTGGCCCTATTTTAAAAGCTCTGTGAAAATCCCAGCTGAGAAAACCTAAAAATTGCAAAATTGGGTCAGATCTAGCAGCTCAAAGGAGATGATTCTTTGCTTTATCAAATCCTACAGGGTTTCTCAAAATAGCAAGTGTGTCCTGGTGCTTTTAAAACTTGATTTGATTCACTCACACTTGATTTATACACAGCTTTTTAGAAGTAGGGCCATCAAGTCAGTAAGGTCTGCCTAAATTCAGATGGGCAAAGAACATTCTGCCTAGGGAGGACCAGCCCTTCTGTAGTGTTTGTGTGACATTTTATTAACAAATATGTGTCCAGGAAAGTATTCCTGGGCATGTTTTTGCTCAAAGAGAGGATACAGATGACAAAAGTAGGGCATGAGTCGCAGAAAGGGGGCATAGAACTGTCTGAATTTGCCATAAAAGAAAATGAAAGTAGAATTGTCTAAAAAGAGAAGTCAAAGTGAGATTGAGAACACCCAAGGACAGATGGGGGCGGAAGGGACGGAAGGGCACGTGTGCAGCCCCTGGAAGCTGGAAGCTTTGCAAAACCGTAAGACCCAAGCTGCTATCTCTTTGTTTCTAAGAGTGGGTCATTTAAAAATCTCCAGCTATTTCCCAGGTGGTGGGGTGCCCTCTTGCCCTTTAATTAAAACCCTGGGTAATCTGAACAGCGTTCTGACAAAAGCAACACTCCCACACCCACCTCCCCAGATCTGTTGAGTTTCAATTTAAGGGATTTTAGTGTGTCCAAAAAAAGAGGCGGCCGCTTTTGAGGCTGGAATGGAAAATGAGCACTCGATCAGTGTGAACGTTCCTTTGCTCTCCCTCAGCTCAGCAGGGCCGCTCTTCCAGCTTTCAAGTTAAGCCATTGGCATAGTCCTAGTGGCCCCCAATCTTGATTGCTAGACTGATGTTTAGAAGAGTGGGAAGGTTCACCCCCAGGCTCTTAGCCAGCTGGATCATAATAAGTAGTTCTGTTCTCAGAGGCCTTGCGTTTGCCTTCTCTTCTCTTTCTCTGCAGGGGAACTCCTTCTTTGTGATGACCAACTTTCTTAAGACAGAAGGCCAAGAGCGGGGTTTGTGTCCCGAGGTAAGGAAGGGAACCTGGAGTGGTTGGATGGGTGATATCAGCTCCTGGAGGAGGCAAGTTAGAGGAGATAAAGAGCGGAGGCTGTTTTCACCCCTGCTCAGATTCTGCTTCCCCTAAGACTGGCCATTAACCCAGTTCCCCGGTAAATGGGAGGTGGAATATGTATAAACCAAGTCATCCCATTCCTCTTTTCCTTATCCTGTCTGCAGCCCTGAGGCCTGCCTGACCCTGACCTTAGGCCAGGAGGGATTGCTGGCTGGTGTCCCTTATTTCCACACTTCCTGTTGAGAGCCTTTGTGCTTGTCCACTTCTCTGCAGTCATGGGACTGCTGGGCCCACCTGCTTTCTACCCTAAGGGCTGTCCCTAAAAATGGTCCCTGGCTGCCCGGAGATCCACTTTTGATATTTACTTTAATTTTTTTTGAGATATAATTCATATACCATAAAATCTACCATTTTAAAGTGTACAATTCAGTGGATTTTAGTATATTCACAATGTTGTGCAACTATCATCACTATCTAATTCTAGAACATTTTCACCACCCACCTCTCCCAGAAAAAAAATTGTACCCACTAGAAGTCACCATACATTCCTCCTTTCCCTCACCCCCTGAAAACCACTTATCTACTTTCTGTTTCTGTGGATTTGCTTATTCTGGACATTTCCTATGAATGGAATCAGACACTGTGTGACCTCCTGTGTCTGGCTTCCTTTATTCAGCACCATGTTTTTAAGGTTCGGCCATGTGGTAGCATGTGTCACTGCCTCATTCTTTCTTATAGCCAGGTCATGGCCACTATTCATCTGTTGATGGATGTTGGGGCTGTTTCCACTTTTTGGCTATTTTGAATAGTGCTGCTGTGAACATGTGTGTACAAGTTTTTCTATGGACATAAACATCCACGTTTCTGTATCTTAGGGAAACACATTGCTTTCTCCCCACTATCCTGTCCTTCTCCCTGCAGTATCCTACCCGTGCGACACGCTGTTCCTCTGACAAGGGCTGTAAAAAGGGAAGGATGGACCCACAGGGCAAAGGTATGTTCTGTTTCTTTTCTGGGACCCAGGGGTGAATTTCTGGCATCCTGGTGACATTCATATAAAATGAATGGCATTTACAATGCCCTGAAGTTCAGATTTTAAGCCTTTGGCTCTCAGCTGCCTCCTTCTACCCTCATTAGGCCATGGGAAAGCCTGTGTTTGCCCTGTGCCTAGGCTCTGTCCCCAGCGTACCAGCTGCTAACTATGAATATGACTCTAACTCCCCATGAAGACAGCTCCTGGAAACAGCTGGTCTCCCGGACAGTTTCAGAATTGGCACCTTCAGGGTTCTCATTGACAGAAAAACCAAATGGCCCATGGCATCACCTGAGTATTCTAAACTTTCCCCTTTGAACTTCCTCCAAAGATTGGGGGGCATGAATTGTACCCCAAGGACACCTGCAGAATTTCCATATATCTTGTTTTAACTTAAAGAGGCACATTGAAATTTTTTAAATGACCAGAAAAAGGAAAAAAAAAAGTGGTTATGACACACATATACCCAAAAAAGCATATGAATGTTACATTCTATTCCATAAAACATGTGACAGAGTTGGCATAGAGACCATTTTAACATTACTTATTATTTACCTTTCCCCTGGGAATTTTGTTACTGATGAGGTGGGGCAGAGGCATGGGACAAGCATCATGATTAACTTTTCCTGCCTACGATGAAAAATGATGAGTATAAACAGTATAGTAAGAACAGGAGGGACTCCATTTTAAGGCTAAGATACCATTTTAAAAAGCAGAGAGTTGAGAAGTAAGATTCCTAACATATTCTCTGGTAATCAGACAATAGCCCAACAGCCTATCTTAAGGCAGGGCAGACATCTTAACTGATATGTCCCTGCTACTTGAGGGTACTATCTTGGAGAAGAACAAGATAAATAAATTCCTTGTGTTGGGTTTATTTAGCAGAATTAGCTGGAGGACTGATAATAAAGGAAAGGAGACTTGATGTCTCTCACCAGAGATAAGCACCTTGAGACCACAAGTCAAGCCTACGCCCAACAACCCCTCCCCTTTGCCCTTTGTCCATTCTTGAAAACCTTAAAAGACCGAATCCCCAAACATTCAGTGTGCCTCCTCCATTCTGAGGACTCCCACACTTCCCTTTCTTTAAGTGCGTACTTTCAAATAAAGCTTTCTCACTGTTCAGATTATTACAGTTTGTCTTTTTGCTATTTCTTTTTATTTCCAAGTCTTTACTTTATCTCCGCTTTACTCCTAATGAATAGGAAGGGGTGCTAAGAGCTCAGATTTGGGCCTGCATGTTCCCATCACCTGGCTGACCTAGACAGAACTGCCGCTGTGCAAGCTGCTCTTAGTAGCCTACCTGAAAACCTTTCTTCAGGAAGTTCTCAGAACATAATCTCACTTCACCCTGTGCTCCATGGCTCCCCGAAATCCTGGAGTGGTAGGGGTTAGTCCCCATGCTGTGCAGATTCAAGCAAACATAGGATGCCAGGTGACCCTGGCTTCAGGAGTTGGCAAGGGACTCTGCCCTAGGCCGAGACCTTTCCCTCTGCATTTTCCTGTTCTCTGCGGCCTGCAGAGCAGCTGCCATCCCCTGCTGCACTTGTTTTAATGAATTCCTTTCTTACCTACACTCATCTGACCTGTTTGAGAATTTTTTCTCGCCCAACATGAAGAACTCTCTCCCGTCCAGGTTGAGGTTTCTCCTCGTGCTTCACCTAGTACACAGGGAGGGACCTCCCCAGACACAGCTGCCTGGCAACAGTGACACTGATGCTCTGGGAAGATGTGCTGTGTTTACTCTCTGGCTTTGCACATCCCCAGCACATGCTGTATACCCTGAGAGGGACTCAGGTGCCCATTCAGAGGCCAAGTTATAGTCCATTTATACCAGGCGAGAGAATACACCCTGTTCGGCTCCTGTCCCAGGCATCTTTCCTTGCAAAGAAACCAAAGAGCCAACAGCACCCACAATTTTTCTGTTTTATCTGATTTTTTTTTTTTTAAAGTCTACATTTGATGTGTTGCTTGCTTGGTTTACCTTATGTAAGTTTGTGGTTCAGATGGGGTTTCATAGAAACAAACTGATGGGGTTGAAAAGCATTATATATATATACATATAATGGTCTCTTGCTTGGGTTGAGGTAACGATGCATGGTTGTCATGCCTATACTTCCATGACCCCTTGACCCACAGGCGTCCAGACTGGAAGGTGTGTAGTGTATAAAGGGGATGTGAAGACCTGTGAAGTCTCTGCCTGGTGTCCCATTGAAGAAGCGGAAGATGCCCCCCGGTGAGTTGCAGGGTGGTGACAGATGTAGTGGCCCCCAGCAGTGAGCAGATGAGGCCTTGTCAGGCGCCGCTCCAGCTACTCTTCTAAGGGCAGTTCTGAAAACCTTGGGTCCTCCAGGCTTGATGACCCTGTGCCAGACACACTAATGGTCTCAGGGAGGGCCATGCTAATTATTAAAATACTGAAATAGTTCTGTACTCACTGGTAATAGCTACTACCATGAGCACCCTTGGGTGCCCCAGCCCCTCCACTAGCTGTCCTAGCACCTTCCAGGGCACCACCCCTGGCCCCTGCTCTGGTGCTACAGTGGGCTCCATTCTGATGCTCAGTGTCCATACAGAGTGATTAAGAATGTGAAGGTGGCAGGGAGGAGGGAGGAAAAGAAAAAGGAAGGGAAAGGGAAGAGAAAGAAATGGAAAGGAGGGAAAGAAGGAGGGAAGTTTTCCTAAATTAAACGGTCAGTGACATACAGATTTGGCAATCCTCTGTACTGATTCTTCTCTTTAACACACAAGGTCAGCCCCAAAAAGCAGAACTTAATGTTAAATCTATTAAACTACAGGGACTGGTGAATTTCTGCAGAGAATAGAGAGAGCTGGATTTAAATCCTGTCACTAACACTGCCTGTGTAACCTTGAGCAAGTGGCTTACCCTCTCTGAGCTTCAGTTTCCTTGTTTGTAAAATGAGGATAATAATTGCACTTACCTCACTGAGATGTTAAAGAGAATTAAATGAAATGATACTTGTATGGTGATTGCAAAGGGAGCCCTATACCTGGCTTAAAGTAAATACTCAACAACACACACACACACACACACACACACCATGTGTGCACAGCCACACAGACACATACACACATAGACAAATGTTGTGCCTTTACAAGGGCAGTGGTTCTAGATGAGCACTGTCCAACAGAACTTTCTGCAATGATGGAAATATTCTGTACCTTCACTGTCCAAAATGGTAGCCATGAGGTACATGCGGCTATTGAGCACTTGAAATGAGGCTATGGCAACTGAGGTACTAAACTTTTAATGTAATTTAATTTGCTTTTAATTTTAATAGTCACATCTGCCTAAGGGATACTACACTGAAGAGCACAGTTCTAGACAATGTGACTCCAGCCCACATCACCAGCATCTGTGGGGCAGAGAAGACTGCCCCAAACTGACTTTTTAGAAGGTTTATGCAAAGGCTTCCCACCCCAGGGTGGGAAGCACTAGAAGCACTAGGCACTGTCAGCCCATCTGCCCATCAATCGCTAATGGTACCACCCAGGCTCATTTCGGTTAGAGAAGTCTCTTTGGCACAGAAGGAATTGCCCAGAGCCTGGGTGGGGGGACATCAGCCTACACGCTAGCAGTTCTAGGGTTCAAGACTAGATTGCCTATGGTGTGCAGTCCCTACTCTCCCAGCAACTCATTCATCAGGTAAATACTGTGCATCTCCAGTATGCCCGTCCCTGGACTGAAGTTTTATATGACCTTGGGCAAGAAAGTCCCTGAACTTCAGTTTCCTCAGACATTATACAAAGGACTACTAAAATGATTCATTTAATCATTCAGTCAACACATTCATTACCATGTAGTAGGCATTACATACTTATTTGTATGTAACTATGCACAAGAAATTGTAATAAAAAATACAAGATGGCCCAGATATGGAGCAGGTCCCAAGGCTCCTGCAATCTTCTAAAAAGACAATTGCACAGAGAGCTTTAATTCAAGACAGGAATTTTTGTCATGAGAAGGGAATGAAGGGCTTTGATCCTTAAAGCTTCAGGATCCTGTAACCCTCTGATTCTTAGAGTATTGTCTAGGAAGTGCGAGATTTATAATGTTCTAAAGGCAAAGGGTCTGGCACATAGCAAACAATTGTCATAAATAAGATTTTTTAAATGCAAATGACAGAAATACAACATAAACTGCCTTTGGGGAAAAGGGGGGGTGTTATTTTTTGACTACTGTAAATGAGGAATCCAGAAGGTGAGGCTTAATCCAGGCTTCAAATTCAAATGATGTCATTAAGATTCTCATTCCTTCCCCACCTCAATCCTCAATCTTTTACTCCTTCCCACCCTCCCACCCTCACTTATTCTTTCAATTTGGCTTTCCTCACATTGTAGTACAGGGAACTGCAGGGTGGGAGCTATAGGGCTAGGCAGGAGAAGGATTGTCCCCACCAACCCTCTGGGCGGGCATAGAGGAGACTTGGCTTCCCCAAAGGCAAAAAACTAAGGTGCTACTGCCGGAAGGGATGGATGCTGCACAGCAAAAATTACAGTTTTCTCTATGGCTGTATTACAAATAGAGCCACAGCCAGGCTCTGAAAGTTCTGGAATAAAAAGTAGATCATTCTTGGTGCCCCCTTCCAAATGGCTTCTGCCCTTTCCTGGTGCCATTCCCAAATACATATGCCTATCAGGCATGCCAGGCAGTTGGGTACGAGCTGTATTAGTTTATCCACAGGCAGTTCTCTCCATCTTTAACACACTGTCACCTACATAAGGACAAAAACCTCGTCTTGTCCATTACTGTATCCCCAAGGCCGAGTCCCATGCCCAGCACAATAAATACTTGTTGAATGAATGGATGGATAGATAGTGCACAGACCTTCCTGCAGTCTAGAATTTGGGCTCCTCTAATTTTATGCTACTCAGAGCCTCCAGAAAATGACTGAGAGAATCAACTAGCCTTGTACTAATGGGATGCCAAGATAAGAAAATTATTGTCCCAGCTCTGCAGGAACATCAAGCCTATTGGCAAAGATACAAACAGCGGTGTCCTGGAGTTGGCTTGCACCGGCTCTGAGCCAATTATGCTCATCCCTTCCCAACTCCAAGTTCAATGATGACTGATGTCTCATTGGTATCTTGAAAATAGCCACGGTGGGAGTATTGATTCCACAATAATCAGTAAATGCTACATATCAGAGTGTTTTTTTCCTGTAGAGCTGTTTGTTAAACATATATCAGCACATCACTGCACATACCTAAACATGTATCAGAATGGGAGAAGTGTCCTAGTAAATGCCATGGGATCTCAAGAAGAGAGAAATTCTTCCTGGAAAAGCTGGAGAATTTTAGAAGGTTTTGCCTACTAGATTATATTTCTCTTCACTCATCACAATGACCCAAGCAAGAAGCCAGAAGCCTGCTCCCATTGGCCCACTGACTCCCTTGGTCTCTGTGCTCACTGACTCTCATGTTACATTTTTCTCTGCAGGCCTGCACTCTTGAACAGTGCTGAAAACTTCACTGTGCTCATCAAGAATAATGTCCACTTCCCTGGCCACAACTACACCACGTAAGTGCCCGGGATGTCTGGCCATATCTACTGCTGTGTAACAGATTACACTAAAACTAAGAAGCTTAAAAACATCCATTGCCTCACGCAGTTTCTGTGGGTCAGGAATCTGAGAATGACTTTGCTGGGTGATTCTGGCTCAGTGTGTCTCAAGTTGTAGTCAAGCTGCAGTGGGGCTCTCATCATCTCTGGGGTTGACTGGGGCTGGAGAATCTTCTTCCAATCGCACTCATGTGACTCTTGGCAGGAGAGCTCAGCTCTTCACCACATGGACCTCTCTCAGGACTGCTTGAGTGTCCTTAGGACATGGTATCTGGATTCCCCCAGAGCACGTGATCCAAGAGAGACACAGAGCAAGCAAGCAAGATAGTAATCAGGATGGAATCAAGATGGGTCTTTTAAAACCTAATCTCAGAGTGACACACCATCACTGCTGCCATATGCTATTGGTCACACAGACTAACCCCTGTGCAATATGGGACGGGGCTACACAGGTGTGAATTCCAGGAGGTAGGGATTTTAGGGGCCCTCTTAGAGCCCAGCTATCACACTGGCTCACTCCTATGAAAGGGAATGGATCCCAATTTTCAATAGAAATGTTTGTTTGTTTGCTTTTCACTACATGCAGGAGGAACATCTTGCAAGATTTAAACATCACTTGCACCTTTCACAAGACCAAGAATCCACAGTGTCCCATTTTCCAACTAGGAAATATCTTCCAAGACACAGGAGATAATTTTTCAGATGTGGCAATTCAGGTTGGTGGTGCCTTTGTACAGTGAGGTGCAGGGGTGTATGTCAGGGGATGGAAGATGTCAAATGGCCAAGAGGCTGACCTACTGGGTCTCAATTATGTGGCTCCACTTACTGAGCATTTAGTAAATCCATGCGTGCTACACGGTGCCAACAACTTTACCTTTATTACCTCATCTAATCCCAAACTTGGTGTATTAGTTTCCTGTGGCTACTATAACCAATTACCACAAACATGGTGGCTTAAAACAATACACACTTTCTAATATGTCTGAAAGTCAGAAATCCAAAATCCATTTCACTAGGTCATGTCCCTACTCCTGGAGCTTGGGAGACATGACAGCCCTACTCAAACCACTAGAAGTTGGGAGAGGTGTTTCCCAAAGGAAATTCCAGGTAATTTTGCCAGAAAGAGAATTGGATGCTGAGTGACAGAAACATCTGATATTCACAGTAGTATGTAGAGAGCTTGGCTTAGTGCCTGACAATAAATGGGATTGTTCCATATTTTCCCCTTTCTCTAAATCAGAGCCTGCATATTACTCATCTCTTTATTCCCAGCATCTAGCATACTGTCTTGAAATACCATATTTCCTCAATTCAAAGACATACATTTTTCACATTCTAATAGTTCTGAAATCAGGAAGGGCTTTCAACTGGAGTTTCCCAGTTCAATTGACAGCATCTTTTTCTTGAGGAACATAAAGAGAAAATTATGTGTCTTACAAGCAGTGGTATCTGAGTCAATGAAATATGATAGTTAATGCTCAAAAAATGTGGGAAGAAAAAATACCAAATACATGTAAGAGATTAAGAGATTCCTTTGCAGTTCAGAGAAGAGAAAGGCCACCTTGAATTGAGAAGGTTAGGGATGGCTGACTGAATGAGGAAGGAAGTGAGCTTGGTCTTGGAAGATGAGAAGGATTTAGCTAGAGAGATAGTGGGAGAAATACTATATTGGAAGAAAAAAAGCAAAGGCCAAGATTTAAAAATTCAAAATGTCCCCAGCATGTCCACTCCTAGGTATATACCGAAGAGAAATGACAACACATGTCCACACAAAAGCTTGTGTATGTGTTCAAAAAAGCATTATTCAATAGCCAAAATGTAGAAACAACACGAATGTCCATCAAAGGATGAAGGGATAAACAAAATGCAGTATATCCATACAATGGAATATTCTTCCACCACAAACAGGAATGAAGTTTGAAGACATGCTACAACGTGAACTTTAAGTAAACATTATGCTAAATGAAAGAAGCCAGACACAAAAGATCACATATGCTATGGTTTTACTCATATGAAAGTTCAGAATAAGGAATTCTACAGTGACAGAAAGTAGATGAGTGGTTGCTTAGGGCTGAGAGAGGGGATTAAAGGGTAGTGACTGAAGTTCACCAGGTTCTTTTAGAGGTAATGAAAATGTTATAAAATCAATTATGGTGACAGTTGCACATGTGTGAATATACTAAAAACTGTTAAGTTATATGCTATAAATGGGCAAATTGTATGTGAGCATATCTCAATAAATTTGTTTTGAAAAAGAAATGAAAATATAGTGTGTTTTAGAAAAAGTAGACAATTTGGAATAGCAGTTTTCTCTAGGACAGTATTAGGAGATCAAACAGAAATGACATGCAATGGACTGCCCTGGATTCCAGTCTAACAAGTTTTAACTTGATCTTTACTTGGGGGGGGCCATTAAAGGTGTTTGATTACTGGAGTGGTTTATTAAGAGTTGTATTTTAGGAAAATAAATCTAACAGGTATCCCAGACAGGAGGAGCAGGGAGACAAATTTGCTGCTACCACAGTAATACTTGTGTGAGTTAGCTAGGACTGCACTCATGGCTTTGAAACCTTTGAAACCTTTAATCAGTACTTTTCCTTTAAAAAGAAAACCTTTCCTTTGGTGGTCATCGCCATGCAGAGCAACATCTAGTGGCTTGGTCCCTTGCCAAGCAAGGCTTGGAGATTGTCTCTTGTTGTCTTCCCCAGGGAGGAATCATGGGTATTGAGATCTACTGGGACTGCAACTTGGACACGTGGTTCCATCACTGCCGGCCAAAATACAGTTTCCGTCGCCTTGATGACAAGACCACTAATGAATCTTTGTACCCTGGCTACAATTTCAGGTAATAGCGCTCCAGGTCAGACTGGCCACCATTGCATGCCCAGCAGTCAGTAAGACTAGTTTTAGTTCCCAAGGCAACCAGATGAATGTAAAAGACTTCTTCTAAGAGCTAGGCAGTAACTAGATTTTTGTATGAGTTTTTTCTTTTTCATTGTTAAAGTGATATACACTCTTTGTGAAACAAAAACTTGGGAAACAGAAAATAAAAAAGAGAAGAGAGTAACATCACCCATAACTCCCCTTCCTTGAGATAATCCAGGATGGCCCTCTGGTGAATTTTCCTTCCTCTAGCCAATTACTTATGAGGCTCATATGAGACCATACCACACTTATAATTGGAATTCTGGGCTGCTGCTGTTTTTTTTCATACTCTGGGTCACTCAAAATTCTTTGAGACCATCACATTAATGATCCCATTGTGTAAGTTCAATGATAACATAGCTCCAACATAGGGAGGGTCTTCTGTACACCACACACTCTAATCATCATCTCTAAACCTCATGACAGCTTGGAAGGTGGACATTAGCGTTCCCAGGTAAAGCCGAGGAGGGTGAATGATTTCCTTAAGACGCACAGCTAATAGCAAAAGCTCCATAATACTAACCTAGGTCCTCTGACCCCAAAATTCATACCCTTTCCCTTCCATCTCATGATTTTTTCATCCATTCCTCCATGATTGGACATTTGGGGAGTTCCCAGTTTTTCTATTTTAAGTAACTCTTCAGTGTACATCTTGGTATATAAATCTTTGTTTGAATAATAGATTGTTTCCTTAGGATAAATTTCTAGAAGTAGAATGATTGGATCAAAGGTTATTAACATTTTACCCATATGCTTTCAGGTTTTAAATATTTTTCCTATGACTGTGTTTTTCATTTCCTGGATTTATATTCAGGTCTTTTTCAAAGCCATCTAGTATTATTTCAGTGAGGTCTGTTCTCCTTTTGTCCATCCTACTCTGTAGCCCCTTTCACAGTTGACCCATTATCTGTTATGACTTGCATGGGATTTCTCTCTGTGGGGCTTTGGAGTATGTGTTGGTGAGCTTCAGCAGGAAAGGCCTTGTGCAAAGTTCTGTGTGTGAGGTGGGTATGGATATAACCACTCCTCTGGGGTGGTTATGTAATCTTCTAGCCTGCCAGAACTGTATGGCATCTATCAATTATGGACCACTTTTTAATTTCTGGGCACTGGATGTCTTACTCTCCTAAAAGTGTCCCATCTCTACTCTCTTGTGGTGTAGAGCTTCTGCAGCCTCTGCTCCCTTCCCCAGAAATGTAAGATTCTAGGTTCCTAAGATACAGATCTGGGTGGGTACTCCTAGGGGTTACATGGCTTTAGTCCCCACTCTCCACTCATTTCTAGCACCTAGAAAATGTCTTTCCTTATTTTGAGCTCATTAATTTATGGATATGACTTAAAAAATATTTTATCTTGCACTTCTGTGTATACGGTGGTAGGCTTCCTGTACTAGGTTAGGCTGCCACCTTGACTGGAAGTCCTTTTGGCAAGAACATTTTAAGGACTCCTGATACTTTGGGCCACATTGCTTCCTCACCTGCAGTCTTGTCTGACTTTTAAGGTTCGTTGTAGCTCATTGTGTATGCTTCTGGCTTCTGGGCTCAACCCCATGAATTCATTACAACCCTGGTTTATTTTCACTCTTAAGCTAGCCAGTGCTGGTTTGGTACTAATCTATTCTTATTTTGACTCTCTACACAGTTCACTCCTCTGCTCCTGACTTTTGCCCAGTGGTGATCCTGCGCCATCCTTAGTTTCCACATTACCTCTCTATGCCTGGATCAATTTTTCAGCCTTTACCTACAACTCTGCCCAGCACTAATTTGTTCCTTAAGTTTGAGGCTAACAACAGTCTCAAGACAGTGATGACCTATCACTGTCTGTGGGTGCCAGGCAGGTTTCTGTGACTGTGATTTTGGCTGATCATTTTGTGACCTGGTAACAGACACAAAGTAGCTTACTACTGTTCCCTTTTCAGAAAGATGTCCTAAGTACATCCCTCCAAGTCCTCTCCAAGCACAGGTTGGACCCCTGCAAGTACTGGTGCTTTCCTAAGGATTGTCCTAGTTAGGAAGAAATGGAACTGCACAGATAGGAACCCATGTTAGGGGAATCTTAATGTGCTGAAAGTTGAAATAGTCTACATAAAAATGAAGACTTCCTACTCTTCTTTAAAAATTAAGCTATTTGAAAAAAAAGATTAAGTCAATTGGCCACTCTGGGTTCATATCCCACAGTACAGCACTCAGTTAGAGGTGAGTTTTAGTGGTTCCTTTTACAAAGAACATGTGTTTTTTGGTTTGCCACTGTCCCCACTGCTCCTTATTGTCTTATATCTGGCCTGCATCGCTCATTTCTGTTATCCACCTAGCTTTTGAGTTTGAGATCCTTGAGTTAAAGGTGAGCTGAGATCAACACAATAGGCTTTTTGACTCCTCTGGGTCAATGGAGTTTCATCCAAGGGCCTAAAACCAGCTTCTGATTTAGGTAACATTTTGATCACCCCCTACTGTTTTACTGAATAGGTTTATGGCCATAAGCAAGAAGAGAAAATTACATCAGTGATCTTGTGAGTGCCCTTGCTGGCAGTTTTATTTTTTATTTTTTGGAGTTTGCAGAAGCATCCAGGAAAATGTACTAATTAGATATTAGCAAATGCCCTTAGAATCATTGAGCTAAGCCTGGAGAGATCTGAGTTCTGAAGAACTGAGGTGGTTATGATGTTCAATACTCTTTTAGAACAAAAGTGTACTTGCTGTCTGGAATGAGCATCAGAAGAAATCTTTGGTCAAAAATAAGTTGTCAAGATCTGATGAATAACTGGACAAGTTATTTTCAAATAGCCACACAAAAGAGAAGGAAATTATCAGTTATATGAGGTGTATATGAGAACATGTAACTTTCTAAAACATAAGAAGGTGAAGAAGACCAAATTACAAGATTTTGTCCTTTACCAAAAGGTCCTTATTCCGTGAACATGTGGTTCAGTTTATTTACAGCATGTATGAAGTAGGGTACACCCACATGAATGCCTGCTGGATTTCTCTGATTCAGGATGGGTATGTATATTAGTTTCCTATTGCTGCTGTAACAAGTTCCACAAACTTGGTGGCTTAAAGCAAGGTGTCAGCAGGGTCACACTCCCTGCAGAGTCTCGGGGGGAGACTCCTTCCTGGCCTCTACCAGCTCCTGGAGGTTCCAGGCATTCCTTAAGTTGTGGCTGCATCACTCCAGGTCTGTCTCCATCTTTACATGGCTTCTCCTGTGTTTCTGTTTCAACTCTCCTCTTACTTCTCTTATAAAGACACCAGTCATTGGATTTAGGGCCAACCCTAAATCCAGGATGATCTCATCTTGAGATTCTTCACATCTCCAAAGACCCTATTTCCAAATAAGGTTACACTGACAGGTACAGCATTCAGGCACTTGGATGTATCCTTTTGCCAGGGGGTCTCTACTCAACTCATTACAATGCACAAAAAACATCCTTGCCCAGGACCTAATGTTTCTCAGTGTGGCTCACCGACCATGTGCACCAGAACTATCAGGTACCTTTCTGGAAACACCTCAGACCTTCTGAAACCACCCTCTGGGAGTGAGGCCCAGAAATCACCTCACTTTTTGAACACACTTCCCAAGTGATTCTTGTCTTCAGTTTGAGAACCACTGTATCAAGACCCCGAAAGCAGATATACAAATATTTACTGTACAATGTTGAGCTTCCCAGGCAAGCCACCTTGCGTAGAAAGATAATACCAACCCCAGGGCATGGAGTGATGATGTGTGCTTGCTTTTTGAATTAAAAAATAAATCACTCAGTAGAGCAGCAGATGAAAGAACTGTCATGGAATGAGAACAATCAGAAGCAAAGAAATCAAAACCCCTTTGGCTGGAAACAGGCGCTGTTGTGCCTGAGAATATCTAACTGATATCAATGTCAAATTTTGAGTCTAAAAAAATGAAGAGTTTCAGATGTTTCCTACTATATTCTGGCAGAGCATCTGTCTTCTGTGTTTTTTTCTCTCCCACACCTGTAAATAGATTGTGAATTAATAACTCAGAGAAAAAATATATACCTTCACATAAAAACAACCATCAAAAGGTAGTAAGAAGGAAGAACAGATTTAAAAGTTTTGTGAGGCATGTGGTTTAAGCCTTCCTAACTATTCATAAAAAAGAAAACATTCCCCTTTCCCTAACTATAGCACTGGTGAGAGTGGCATATTTGGGGTGACTGTGATTTGTGCCCAAGTCTTAGTTTTTAGAGGTGGCTGACGGAGCACACAGAGAGATCAATGCTATTGAAAAAATTTTCCTACATTTCCCAAAAGGAGGGGGCACACAATGTCACACAGGGCAACAGAGGGAAGCACCAGATTTGGTCAGGAGATAGAAGGATCAGGGGAGAGCATGGCCGAGACTTTATTGTGTTTTCCATGGGAAAGACAAGGCAGGGCAGGGGGAACAGCTTAGGATTGGCTAGTTTGAATGATACCAGTGGGTTTTGGGATACAGGGTAGTTCCTAGTTGTCTGGTACCTGGCCCTGGGTGATTTAGCACAAGGGAAATATTGGCTGGATGTGTGAGAGTTAGATAAACGGGGCGGTTGGGGATATGATCCCAGGATTGGTCAGAGGGTTTGTAAAATGATTTTCACATACTTGCAAAAGCTGGATAATAGGGGAGATGTAAGTAACTTTGGCTGTTAGTTTGGCCCTGTGATCATGGATGCCAAATAGACAAACACAAAATCTGAGAAAATACAGTTACAATGGACTGCTGCAGTGCAACTGTCCCCAATCCAGTGATTAGTATCTAAGATTCACCATCCACCATGTTCTAGAAGCCAACCTACTTTTTCCCTTTTAGGGAATAATCCCATTGCTTGCAGCTATTTTTTAAAATTTCTCTGCTTATTGTTAATCGTGTATTGGTTAAAAGTTGTTCATTTTAATCTTAAATGAAAAGCAGATTTTTCCATCACCTTGTGATGGAAAAGTAGAGTTGGTGATGTGGGAAGTGGTACTTGGGTTCCAGGTGGTCAGAAAGTCATTGGTGGGTTTGGATTGTGTTCTCCCCTTGCCAGCCGCGGCAGGGCTAGAAGATGGACAGGGAAGACTAGACGGGCTGTTGTTCTGGTTTCTCTTTTCATGTAATACTAACATTTTAAGGTAGATCTTTATAAATATGGGTCCTTTTCCTCCTACAGATACGCCAAGTACTATAAGGAGAATAGTGTTGAAAAACGGACTCTGATAAAAGTCTTCGGGATCCGTTTTGACATCCTGGTTTTCGGCACCGTAAGTCTCTGCTCCCAGCCGCCAGCACCTCCATTCCATTTTGCTGTTTTGTTTTGGTCATAGTCACTAGCCGGCACTTTATACCTCACATGTGGGATAAGAGAGGGAAAAGAAATGTCCTGTCCATGAACAAGTCATTTGATGAGTACAAGAGTAGGACTGGGGAGGAAAATTTAATATTTGACTTTTATAATACTCTGATGCTTAAGAAAAAGGAGAAAGAAATGCCTCTGTAAAGTAGCTATAAGTAATAGAATCCAACTCAAATTGACTTGGGGGGAAAGTCTTTTTTTTTTTTTTTTTTAGCTTACATAACTGAAAAATTCAGGGGCAATTTCAGGCTTCAGCATGGGCATGGCTGGATCCAGATGTTCAAACAACATCAGTAATCTGCCTCCCTCCATCTCTTTACATCTGTTCTCTGTTTTGGCACTGTCCTCAGCTGAAGATTTCAGGTAGTTCCTTACATCTTACCAGTTTAGCAACCTTCACGAAAAGAGAACATCTTTCTACCAGAAGTTTCAGCAAGGGCCTCAGGCAGATGCCATTGGCCCTGTTTGGTCCTATATAGGCCACATGCCTACCGCTGAACTAATCACTGTCACCAAGGTCATGCCATACTTTCAATGGCTGGTCTTGGACCAGCCCTGAGACCAGCCTCTTTCCCCCAAACTACAAGGACAGAGATGGTTCTTCCAGAGGAAAACTGGGGTGCTATTTTGTTACAGAAAAAGGAAGAAGAGGATACTGGGCATGCAAAAATCAACAGATGCCCACAACACCTTGTCCGACAGCATACTATTTATGTAACATCGTGATAAGCTGCACAAGAGTCAATGAGATATAAGTTGAGAGGATAGATAGAAAAAAACCACAGGGACATCTAAGGGGAGAGTTTGTGCAGACATTCCTTCCCTCTGCTTCCAAAGTAATCGCAAGCCACTTTTAGGGAAAGTTTGTCTGAAACCCTCACCTTGTATGGAAAAACAACAAACTTAAAATGGTTTCTCTCAATGTGTGGGATCCAATGTATCTTGTTTAAAACATTCATGTTTTCCAGCACATCCTGGAAGGCATGGACAAATGAGAGTCATATTTTTAGCCTCCACAGTCTCTGTTGCTGTGAACACCTTAGATGCATCTATCAAAGTCACAGCATTAGACTCCCTTCTCTGCGAGAACTGACAATTACATGTTAAAGCAAAAAAGCACTGCTCTGAATTTAAACTGAGTAACCTTTCCCACTGTTTCCAGGGAGGAAAATTTGACATTATCCAGCTGGTCGTGTACATCGGCTCAACCCTTTCCTACTTTGGTTTGGTAAGAGATTCTCTTTCTCATGCTTGATGAAAATGATTTGTCAAAAAGAAATTTCACTAACATGGCACTTGTCTGGGTTTTTCCCAGGCCAGTCTGTTCATTGACTTTCTCATCGACACTTACTCTAGTAAATGCTGCCGATCCCAGATATATCCCTGTTGCAAGTGCTGCGAATGCTGTGCAGTCAATGAATACTACTATGAGAAGAAGTGTGAGTCCATTGTGGAGCCAAAGCCGGTAAGGTTGTGTCTACAGGATGCCAAAACACCCAAGAGTCGGTTAGCTCACTGAGAAATATACAAAAATACAGCCCAAATCACAGGTTTTGTCCAGGTGGACAAATCTCTGGGTTCTCCCCCAATCCACCATCTCCCAGATGGACCCTATGGTCTTAGGGAAGAATAGAAACAAAAATGGAGAGGCAAATTATAGGGAGAACAAATTTTGATATTCCAGAACATGTCAGTTTTGTCAGATTTATTAAATCGGTACAACCACAAGAAAGCCAAAACAAAACAGTATAATGACCTTGGAGAACAATCTGACAGTATCTACTCACATTTAAACAGGCCATACTTAACAGCCTGGCATTTTCCACTTCTCCATACCTGCCCTAGAGAAACACATGAGTACCCAAGTAGTACAGGTGTACAAGATGCCCATCACAGCACTTTTGCAACAGTGAGGAAAGAGCATCTACCCAACAGCCCAACAGGTAAATGGTGAAATAAAAGATGATCAATTCATAGCAAGGAATGTCAGGCATCAGTTTAAAAGAATGAGCTAGATAATAAGGCTTACATAGCAAACACTTTTTATCGCACTTTGAAGTGCTTTACATATATTAACTCATTAACTTTTGACAACAACCCTAGAGATAGATACTACTGTTCTCTTTCTTTAGATGAGGAGATTGACACACAGGAGGGTAAAATACTTTGCCCAAAGCCATACAGCTAGTAAGTGGCAGAGCTGAAACTTCAACTTAGTCAGAATCCACAACCATTATGTTACAGGTACTGGCATGAGCAAATAATATCCAAGACATTTTCTTGAGAGGAAAAAGGAAAAGTACAGAACAATTGTTATACATGGTATGATATATAGGTTAAAGAACAACTTCACATGTAAATTAATTCTATGTATTTCTACATGTATATTATATATGTACATATAAATACAAACACATATACTTTGTGTGTTTTTGTTTTGTATGTTTTCTACATGAATTATACATACACATATGTGTGTTGGGGGTAATATATGTATAGAAGAGGGTATTGGAAACACACGAAAGTGGTGGCAATGATTCCTTCTGGAGAAAAAAGAGCCTGGAATGGGGGGACTAGTCAAAGGAAATTAGAGCTCATCTGTTTAATTTAGACTTTACTAAGCAGGTCCTCTACACTTGACTCCATGATTTCTCCCAATGAAAGAGAAATCTCTGGTACTTAAAAACAACAAAGAGGGTTTCTTTGTCTTTCCCTCGTCTGAGAACATCACTGCCCTTTTCCAGCAGCTGTATGCACAATTCATTGTCCATTGTACATGTATAAACAATCTGAAGTAAATGTTCATGTTTGCAACTAAAAAATAATTACCATTTCATGGCCTAAGAGGGGATAAAATTTAAGAAAATATAAGTAATTTACGTTGCAATAGTATAACTTACTGAAGATACTTAATCGAGAGTAACTGAAATTGAGAGAACGCAATAAAGGAATTTTACATAGCACTTGGAAGACTGAAAAACATTAGGCAGTTAAGTTGTAGATACTCAGAGGCTACAAATTCAGGTGCTTGGGCTTCCAGTTGTAATTTCCCTTTAAATTGGAAATCATTCACTCTTGGCCAAGGGCAGTTTGGGTTAGCTTTTTTAACAGTTTTTAACTTGGTAAGTGGGAAACACTTGCTTTAGATATATCCATGTATTCAATTCTTGATAGTTTCATACAAAAATAGGTAAAATTTTTAACCTTCTTTACCTAGGTATTAAAATATGTGTCCTTTGTGGATGAATCCTACATTAGGATGGTGGATGAGCAGCTACTTGGGAGAAGTTTGCAATATATTATAGGCGAAGAGGTCCCAGTAAGTAAAAACATTTAGCCTTTTGCTTTTTAAGAAAACTTACTAATTTTTTTAATGTGGTAACTCTTTAACTTTTTAAAAATATATAGCTGATATACAATATTATATTGGTTTCAAGCATACAACATAGTGATTCCACAATTTTATACATTATTAAATGCTCACCATAGTAAATGTGACACCATCTGTCAGCACACAAAGTTATTACAATATTGTTGACTATATTTCCTATGCTGTACTTTTCGTTCCCATGACTTAGTTTAAGAGAACTTATAGTTAAATGTAATTATGTCTGGAATTTGTATAAATCACAATGGATGAATTCTAATAAAGTAAACACATGTACCCAGCATCCAGATTTAAAAAGCCAGTATTATTAGCAGAAGTCCCTTTCATGCCTCCACCTGATCACTACCATCCCTTAAAAGTCATCATTATCCTATATTCAAAGGTTAGTTTTATGTCTTCTAGAATTTTTTAAAATTTGAATCCAAATATGTATTCAATATATACTCTGTTGAGTGTCTGGTTTCTTTCACTCTACACTATTTTTGTGAGAGTCATCTATGACATTGCATACAGCAATAGTTCATTTTCATTGTTGTATAATTATAATTATAAACATCCAATTTATTCATCCCTTCTGTTGTTGGACATTTGGGTGGCTTCCAGTTTGGGGCTCATGCCAGTGATGCTGCTATGGTAAACATATGGCACCTAAAAGTGAACTGCTGAGTCACAAGGCAGACATATGTTCAGCTTTACTAGTACAACCAAACAGCTCCCTGAAGTGGGGGTTCTAATTTGCACTCTTGCCAGCTGTTTTGGTTGCTGGACATCTTCGCTATCTGTGTTACAGGGAGGTTCTAATTTGCACTCTTGCCAGCTGTTCTGGTTGCTAGACATCTTCGCTATCTGTGTTAGTTTTCTATGGCTGCCATTATAAATTACCACAAGCTTAAGTAGCTTAACAACAGAAACTTATTCTCTGACAACTCTGGGAGCCAAAGTGTCAGCAGGGCTGTGCTCCCTCTGAAGGCTTTAGGGAAGGATCCTTCCTTGCCTCTTCCAGCTCCCGGTGTTTTTTGCACCTGCCAGGACCTCCAGTGCAACAATGAATACAAGTGGTAATAGCAAGCATCTTCATCTCATTCCCTTCTCAGGAAGGAAGCTTTTTATATTTCACTACAGTATTTACTACAGGTTTTTAAAGATGCTCTGTCAGGGACCACAACAGAAGGGGTGAGGACTTGACAATATGGGTGAATGTTGAAACCGCTGTGTTGTTTATATGAAACATCATAAAATTGTATATCAATGATACTTTAATAAAAGAGAATGTTCTGTCAGATTAAGAAAATTCCCCTCTGTTCCTAGTTTGCTAAGAATATTTTATCATGAATGGATATTTAATTTTTAAAAAATGGATTTTTTTCTGCTTCTGAAATGATCGATGAATTTTCTCTTCATTTTGTTATGTGGTGAACTACATTGATTGATTTTCAAATATTAAGGCAACCTTGCATTCTTGTAAGAAAATCAGTTTGACTGTGATGAGTATTCTTTGTATTTATTGCTAGATTAAATTTGCTAATATTAAACTTATAAATAAAAGTTAATAACAAAATTAAAGCACTCAGAACCTTAGGGGTTGTTATTGCTAATGGGTTTGGAAACAACTTTTTCAGAGACCCTTGATGGACTTCACAGAGTTGTCCAGGCTGCCCCTATCTCTCCACAACCTACCTCCTATTCCTGGACAACAAGAGGACATACAGCTATTGAATGAACAGGGGACTCCTAGATCAGGCAACGTGCCAGACTGGTGCCAGTGTGGAAATTGCCTTCCGTCTCAACTTCCCGAGAGCCACAGGTGCCTGGAGGAGCTGTGCTGTCGGAAAAAGGCAGGTGCCTGCATCACCACCTCGGAGCCATTCAAAAAGCTTGTCCTGTCTAGACAGGTTCTAAAGTTCCTCCTGCTCTACCAGGAGCCCTTGCTGGTACTGGATGCAGATTCCACCAACAGCCAGCTGCGGCATTGTGCCTACAGGTGCTACAACACCTGGCGCTTCAGCAAACAGGACCTGGCTGACTTTGCTATCCTGCCTAGCTGCTGCCGTTGGAGGATCCGGAGAGAGTTTCCCAAAAGTGAAGGCCAGTACAGTGGCTTCAAGCATCCTTACTGATGGCATGAGGGTGAACAGTCATATTAACATTACCTTTGCTTGATCAAGGTTGAACTTCACCTGCAAAGATCTGTAGTCAAATTTCCAACTAAACAGAAATGTGTTTTCCTCTCCTAGACTTCTGTATGTGTCTGGGAGCAAAGTGCACAAACAAACTGGAATGCCTCAGCATGGACTGAGAGTCACAATATTTGGATGTATATATCAGTTCTGTCCCTGAGAAGCTGTGTACAAGATCCTAGGCTTTTAACCTCTGTACCTCAGCTACCTTATTATTACCCAACCTACTATTTCACAGAGATGCTGGGAGGACAAATTGAGACAGCATACATGAGCTTCCTTGTTAATGCATAAAGAGCTACATGAATGTAAACAGCTCATTATGAGGCCAGACTAGAATAATGTCCAAATATGAACAAACAGCTTGGTCCTGGTTAAAGAATGTAGAGCATTAAAAGTGGCCAAATATCCTTTGGCACTTCTCCTCCAGAACCTGAGAATTATGTTTCCTACCCTTGCCTTTGGATAATTCTGATTGCTTTATTCAATAGTGGAAGTGACACCGTGTCAGCCTCAGGGTCTTGGTCTCAAGAAGCTGGCAGTTTCCACTTCCTGTTCTTTGACAAGCCAGTCCCCAAGTAAAAGCCTGATTATCCTGAGACCATCCTTCTGTGAGGAAGCCCAAGCAGCCTCCTAGAGGGATACCCAACCAGCTCTCAGCTTTCAGGACATCCAAGCCCAGTCTTGACCTGGAAGAGAAGAAGCCTTCAGATGATTGCAGACCCTGCTAACATATGACTACCACTGCATCAGGGACCTCAAGTGAGAGCTGCCAGTGAACAAAGTGGTTGTTTTGAACCACTAAATTTTGGGTTGTTACACAGCAACTGATACTGGGACAGAGAACAAGCCTGACTCATGGGAACATAGATGCCGCCCATCCATCCCTTGGTTCCAAGGTTTTTAGGGAGCCTGGACCACCCTTGGAGCCCCTCGGGGCTTAGGTTTCTATTTGGCAGTTCTAGGAGGGCTACAGACCAAATCAGGTAGCCCACCAGACCAGCCCTGGAGTTCATCAAATCTAACTGCCCAGCTACCCAATACATTCCAATCCTTAGCATATTTCTATGAGTCAAAGTAACTAGTACTATTAAAAACTGGAAATGGCTGCCTTTATACCTTTAACATCCTGTACTTCGCAGCCAGTTGGAATGGATGCAGTCTGGATGCTACTTAAAAAGCAACCCACACCCAAACCTTTACAATTTTTATACATCAACTGCTAAGAATATGAAAATGGATAGTCACATGTTTCAGGATCCTCCTGCAGGATTTCCTTTTCATGGTTTTGGTACTGGAACTGACTATTTCTAAACAACTGTGTAAAGACTACATAGAGACCACCATTCAATACTGTGACTGATGAAGGATCTATGAGTTTTTTTATACATACCTTAGATCTACCATTTTGATACTTTTTTAAAACCAGCAGCTTTCTATTGCATTAATGTAAATATGAACAAAATGCTTCTTTTTTGGACCCAGGATTTTATCTGGACTCTTAAAATCAGGAATTAAGTAGGAGAGACTCATCTTTCATTTTTACTACCTTTCAGAGATTATTTTTGAAAGGTGGATTATGTATGATTTCTTCAGAATTTCAAGTTTTACTCTGAGAATTCTACATCACAGCTACAGAGTTCCATCCTAATGACCTGAGTCCTATACCTTTATTTTTTGGTACCTTACTCCTAGCATGTTTTAATTACCTCATGGAGGTCCCAGATGGGGTCAAAATTTAGAATGGCAAATAATCACTGGATCCAGCTCCTGTTTTCCCTCACCTTCCCCACAGATGCTTTAGGTGAGAGGGTGATGTCTTATGTCAGCTGTGAGTAAAATGTCTGACACTTCCTATAATAACGTACATCATGTTTGTATTCTTATTTTTAGTCTACTGCATAAAATAATGTCATCACCAAAGACATCCCAAGGAGAATCACATTTTGTAGGATCTGTTTTCTTGTACTTAAATGCATTCATCTGTTATGGTAACTGCACAGTATTCATTACTTCATTTTTGAATTGGTCAGTATGGGGAAAAACCCACACACATTTGGTGTCTGAAGTGTTATGAGTAGCAAAACAGGTTTTCTGTTAGGCATTCAGTAGAGACCAATGGTAGAAAAGGCTGCTGCTGTCATGGAGATATGAAGAGATAGACATTAATCAAATCAAACAAATGTAAACTTGCATCTTGTGGCAAGTATCATGATGAAGATAAGTGATGCTCTGAGATCGTTATAAGGGAATTTGACCTCTTTGGGGAGATCAGAGAAATCTTTCCTGAGAAAGGAGCCTTTTAGCTGAAATCCAAAGGATATGTAGTAGATAACTAGGTGAATAGGGTAGGAAAGAGCATTCTAGGCAGTGATGCTAGCATGTGCAAAGGCCTTGAGGCAGAAAAAGCAAAGCCAGTTTATAGAACTTAATGGAGACCTGTATGCCTGTTGCATAAGTAGGAAGGGGAAGTAGGGAATGAGACAAGACTGAGCAGGCAAGCAGGGGCTGGACTGCACAGAGTCTTGCAGGCCATGGCAAGGAGTTTTGTCTCTGTCTAAGAAAGACCAGTAGAGAGCCTTGAAGGGTTTTAAGTAGGAGGCTGGTAAGATTATATTTGATTTTTAAAAAATCATTCTGGATAAACAGATTCAAGATGGTGGCATGAGAGGTGAGATGGAGAACTCCTCCCAAAACCACAAATAGTACAAAATATACTTAATTAATACAACTAACCCTAAAACAGCAACAATAAGGCTGAACCAGACTCCATACAGACATCATGAATAGAGCAGACCTCATGAAACAGGGTAACATATAAAAGCCTTAATCCCTGATCATTTAAAGGGTGTCAGATGATCAGCTATGGAAGTACATTTTTCTAATATTCCTTTCTCTTAAAAAAAGAAAAGCAGTTCCTGTGTGGTGATCTCCAATAAGTTCTTCACAATGGTATAAAGGGCATATCAAAGTGTGGGCAAAGGGTTTGTTTGTGTTTATACAGAGGATTAAAGCCTAATTTGGCTACCCAGAAAATGAACTAAGATACGATATGAAGAAGAACTTACAATATCAACATTCTCTGGAAGAGTCATTCCAGAAGATGATCATCAAAAACTTCAACAAAGATCCTGGTGCTGTTGCAGTTGTAGCTGCATTCATCCCACTGGTTCCTGGACTTGCCATTGGAATGAAGAAGGAGATATCTAAGCTGGTCTGTGCATACAGTAAAACAACAAATTTGACTGGATCTATACTGTTGGAACTCAACCAAGAATTAGGAGAAGTGCAAGTTGCAGCGCTCCAAAATCTTGCAACTATAGACTATCTACTGTTAAAAGAACATAAGGGATGTGAACAGTTCCCAGGAATGTGTTGTTTTAATTTGTCTGATTTTTCTCAAAATATTCAAATTCAGTTAGACAATATCCATCATATCATTGAT